CATGTTCTCTTCCCGAACTTGCTCAAAAAGCAACAGTCACGGTTACACATGCGGTTGGTGTATTTTATTTTGGATCTAGTGTCAGGTTATCTACGACCGGATATTAAAAACTCCCATGTGCCACATAACGGTAGGCACGGCTCTCGAAAGTTTAAACCCTGCAGGGGTGTCCCAACTTAGCCCATGACAAGCTCTCATGATCAATGGAGGAAAATCATCCTCTCGGGACAAACCGATCAAGGCCGGAATCCAGGTTCACAATACATTTTGACAAAGGTAAAACATGTCCAGCAAGACCTCCCGACTTGTCGACAATCCCAATAGCAGCCACGTATCTTGTTCTCAGGACACAGCAGATGAGCTACGCATACAGTAACTGAAATCCCGGCTTGCCCCAGGTAGCCCGCATAGTGCTCTAGTTTGGACTAGCACCATTAGCACTAGCCACTCCTGTAAGTAGAATAACGAACCTCGGGTAGCGCTAACTCCCTATGCGTTAAATTTCTTATCATGTTTAGTTATTATGTTGGGCAAATGGTAAAACCAATGTTGGGTCTTGCTGGAGGAGTTTTATTCAAAGCGAACTGTCAAGGGGGGGCCATAAACCCCAACCGTGTTAGGAACGCAAAATCATGGAACATAACACCGATATAACAGAAACTAGGGCGACATGAGTGGAACAAAACACCATGCAAAAGGCCGAGCCTTCCACCCATTACCAAGTATGTGTGATTAATTAAGTAAGATATATTGTGATATCCCATGATATCGATGACCCAACATGGAACAACCTGCAACTGCAACTGCAACTAGCAATGCTATAAGAGGGGCTGAGCAAAGTGATAACATATCCACAACGGTTTGCTAGGATAGTGGACAGATTAGAGGCTTATCATGGCAATTTGGGAGAATGGATAAACAAGTGGTCAGTAGCGTGACATAGTGATAGCATCGAGACAAACTAGCAAAGCAAAGATAGTAGTGGTATCCAGGATAATGATCATCTTGCCTAAATCCAGCTAGGAAGAAGATCGAGTCCATGAAGAAGACGAACGGGCATAGTCGAAAGAATCCTCAAGATCGCAACGAGACCGAGAACTATCGAGAAGTAGCACATCCGGAAAAAAGCAAACAACATAGTAAACAAGCATCACATAAAGATGGCACTGTGCACAACCAAGTATGATGCATGTCTGGTTTAATGAGTCATGGCAAAGCAACAAACAATACTACAAATTAAGTGGAACTCAATATGCAACGAGTTGCATGTTGAAACTTCACAACAATCATTTAGTTCGCTCTCGTTTAGGCTGCTCTCAATATTAAATGTTGATTAACATGGCAAGAGGTGAAGCATAGTTAAACTACCTATCTAGGCAAGTTTAAATGAGGCCGGAAACAACAAACAACAATTTCGGAAAATCCTATGTTATTTAGCAATTTGATGCAAACAACAATTTTAAACATTTTAAAAGTTGTTATCATGATGCGGATGACATATGCAAGTTTTATGCAATTTCATGAAAATGTTCACATGAGCATGTTATGAAGCATTTGTCGCCATGGTGGAAAGAAATGGTGTCACGGCGAAGAATCCAAAAATGATGCCATGGCAACATATCGGTTGTGGTAGCTCACGGAGATACCGGTGCAAAAGGAACTGGGTGTGAGTGTATCATGCAAGGATGGTGGGGTGATTCCGGTTACCGGGTTCCCATGTGTCGATGGCAAGACAACAAGGAATGCACAAGAAACAACTCAGGCACGGTGCAAACACGGGCATCTCATACAACACACATGCATTCGTTCGCGGGCATCGCCTCGGGGTTATACCTTTGAAACATGCATTTCTGGGTGGTTTGGGACAATACGGTGTAGTCGTTCACGGCCATCGTGAGAAGTTGTGGTACACATGTCAAAGATGAACTTGACAAATCCGAGGTCTTCGGGCGATGGTAGTCGTACACGTCCAGAGAGCAACTTGACGTTTCCATGTTCTTCGGAGTCATCGTGCAGTCGTTTGTGTCGTAGTCGGACTTGAAAAATACACACCAGCTGTAGTGGTACACGTATCGTAGATGTTTGGGTCATTGGTAGAGGTACTGGATACATCACCGGGTGTAGCCGTACATGAGGGTCTTGATGAATCCGAAGGGGTACTTGGTGTCAATGTGGCCTCCAGGGTACTTGTCGGTCCATCTAGCGGAAGCAATTAGGGGCGGTCACGGTCTCGGTAACAAGTCTTGGCGGCCCAAAACTTCAGGAGCTGAGGTGCACAGAGGCAACAACAACAATGCTGCGCGTCAGAGAGGAGAAGAGTTAACATGATTAAAAAATTAAAGGAGGAAGATGGAGGTGTAGTGGAGAGGGAGGAGGAGATAGGGCCTTTTATTACTAACTACTACAAAAGTTTGTTCGTATCTTCTGTAGGTCCTCCAAATGATGATATCTTCAAACACATCCCTATTTCACTCACACCAGAGATGAATGCTTTGCTGACCAAACCTTTCACTGGGGAGGAAATCAGAAGTGCTTTGGATGCTATTGGGGACCTGAAGGCACCGGGACCGGACGGAATGCCCGCTATCTTTTACAAGAAGTTTTGGCACATGATGGGGCAGAAGATCTAGGAAGAGTTGCTAGTAGTTTTGAATGGTGGTGATATCTCGAGTGGCTGGAATGAAACAACGATTGTGGTGATCCCCAAGGTAAAGAATCCAGAATCCCTTGCTCAATATAGGCCAATAAGTCTCTGTAATATCCTCTATAAGCTGATATCAAAGGTTTTGGCCAACCATTTGAAGGTGGTACTCCTGGAGATAATTTCACCTACCCAGTCTGCCTTCGTCCCCGGGCGTATGATCACAGATAATGTGTTGTTGGCATATGAGATTACCCACCTGATGCATAAGAGGAAGGGAGGCAGACATGGACTCGTTGCGGTGAAGCTTGACATGAGTAAGGCGTATGATAGGGTGGAATGGGATTTTCTGGAGAGGATGATGCACACTATGGGTTTCGATCCGACATGGGTGAGCCTGAATATGCTATGTGTCCGGTCTGTTTCGTATCACGTGAGATATAATAGGAAACTGACTGAGGTTTTCCTCCCATAACGAGGTCTGCGGCAAGGCGATCCATTATCACCATATATATTCATCTTGTGCGCGGAGGCGTTCTCAATCCTGTTGCAATGAGCCGAGCTAGAGGGATCGATTGAAGGGGTACAAATTTGTCCTGGGGCTCCAAGGATCAACCACCTTTTCTTTGCCGATGACTCGTTAATTGTCATGGAGGCAAAAACAGAGAGTGCAACTCGTCTTCAAGAGATCCTCGCGCTGTATGAGGCTCAGTCTGGCGAGAAAATCAATAGGGACAAATCTTATGCTTTCTTCAGTAAGGGAACAAACAACCAAACTAAACAACATGTGTTGCATGTCCTTGGCATACCTTTTGAATCACAGAATGAGCGGTATCTCGGGTTACCGGTGCACATTGGGGCAGCCAGGAGTAAGGAATTTGAGTACATAAAGGAAAATATCTGGAGAAGAATCCAGGGATGGATAGAGAAGCTCTTGTCCAAAGTAGGTAAGGAAACACTAATTAAAGCGGTTGCCCAGGCAATACCCACATATGCAATGTCCTGCTTTGATCTTACAAAGAATTTATGTGAAGAGATCACCTCCATGATCTGCCGTTACTGGTGGATCCAGCAGGATGGCCAGCACAAGTGTCACTGGGTTGGGAAAGAGAGATTGATGAAAGCAAAGAGGGATGGAGGCCTTGGCTTCCGTGACCTTCACATTTTCAACATGGCGATGCTTGCACGACAATGCTGGAGACTAACTCAAAACCCAGAATCGTTATGTGTTGTGGTTCTCAAAGCCAAGTACCATCCCAACTGCTCTATTCTAAACACGACAAAACGAGAGGGCACGTCCTACACATGGAGGAGTATACTCCGGGGAAGAGATTTCCTGAAGGAGGGCATCGTATGATGAATTGGGGATGGAATGCAAGTGAACCCATGAACCGATCCATGGTTGCCGAGGGGGTCAACTAGGAGGCATGTCGCTCTACAGGGACACTCCATTATCACCAAGGTTAACGAACTGATTGACCTAGTTTCAGAAACTTGGGATGAGGAGCTGGTAAAAGAGCTATTCACTGTATATGATGCAAAGGTTATCATGGCAATACCCTTGAGAGCGGATATGGAGGACTTTATCTCCTGGCATTATGACAAAAAGGGGGTGTTTTCTGTCAAATCTGCATATCACCTAGGAGTGAGCCTAAAGGAGTCTCATCACTGTCAAGATGCAGGAACATCTGGTCAGCAGGGGCCTAGCTCGACGAACTGGAATCAAATCTGGCAGCTTGAACTCCCAGGGAAAGTCCGCAAGTTCTTGTGGCGTCTGGCTCACAACAGTCTTCCAACCCGAATGAATATCAAAAGGAAGCATATTGAACTTGACACGAGATGTCCCATGTGCTAGAGGCTTGACGAAGATGGAGGGCATTTATTCTTCAAATGCAAGAAGGTGAAAGCTGTTTGGAGAGAACAATTCCTCGAGGATGTTCGCATCTCCCTCAGCCAGTGCCAAGATCCACAAGATGTGATACGCCATGTTTGCACTATGGAGCGAGAAAAGAAGTTGCACGTGGCTATGCTCCTATGGGACTGGTGGACGTCGAGGAACAAAGCCAATGCAGGTGAAGTACAGAAGACAGCAGCAGAAATCAGTTCTTTCATCACAAAACACTTGACTGATTTCACTCCGTTGCAAATTCAGAAAACACCCCACCCGCAACAACCCCAGGTCTGGGCCCCTCCAGCTACAAACTTGATCAAGATCAATATGGATGCTGCTTTTTAGGTGGAGTCTGAGACTGGTGCGTGGGGTTTTATTGCGAGAGATGAAACTGGTGCTTTCTTGGCGGCTGCTACTGGCAAAATAAACCATGTAAGATCTGCCCTGCATGCAGAGGTGATCACTTGTATGCGAGCTATTGAAGGGGCAGCTGACCTGGGTGCACAACGTATCAGTTTTGAATTAGACTATTTGACAATGATTTCTGCACTTAAAGGGCGGGACTACGATGCTGCGGAGCTAGGAGTTCTCTTCAGAGAAGAAAGAAGCCTGTGCCATGCCTCCTTTGTTTTCTTTGAATTCATGTTTTGTCCCCGGAAATGTAACCATGTGGCGCATGCTTTGGCCCAGTTTGCTATGGGTGCTGTTGAACCACTTCATGTGTGGGCGAATGTTGCCCCAGACTTTGTTTCTATCTTGGTGAACGCTGATATGGCTTCCCAAGTTTAAGTGGAATATAATTTGTTCCTTCTCAAAAAAACAATGCTGGGGGTCTCGGTCATGGCCATGCCAGGAGACCAAAGTGGCATAGCCGGATTGGTGTGGTTGAAGTGGACGGCTCAGGGAAACAGGATGACCAGTGACAGCTATGCAAGCGGGTCCCCATGTGAACAGAGGCAAGAAGAGGACCAGGGACGCGGGAACTCATTGGATAAGGCATTGGACAACATCACCATGGCGCCCTTGGCGTCCGCCAATGATGGATTCAAGCGAGGAAGGGGTCGCGTCCAGAGGAGAGGAAGGAGGCCGGGAGGTAGCGGATCCGGGCAATGAGAGAAAGAAGCAGGGCCGCATGCACCATGTCGCGCTCCATGATGCGAGGCTTGCGGCGGCGGCAAGTGTTGAGGGCGGCAGCTGTGGGCAGCACGGAAGGAGCACGGAGGAGGTCCGACGAGGCAACAGAGGGACGGCGGGAAAAGAGGAGGGGCCGAGCCAGCGGCTGGGAGCTTCGTGGCGGCGCCATGGTGGGAAGGCAATGGTGCTAGCAGCGGGGAGGTCTGGCGGCGTGCGAGAAGAGCAGCGGTAGCAGGGCGCGTTTGTGGCGGAGCTGGAGAGAAATGGAGTTGGGAGGACGGGAGAGGCCATGGATCAGGCATGAGGAGCTCCCCTCCCTCGGCTCATTGCATGCATGTGTGTGCGGCGGCGCGAGGTGGGGAACGAGGAGGACGAGGATCGATCTAGAGAGAGCTAGGGTTATAGGTGCGGCTGGGCCGATGGAGGCCAACGGCTAGGCCTTGGGCCATCTCGGTGGAGGGCAAAAAGGCCAGGAGGCCTAGCAGGCTGGATTAAAAGAAAAGAAGGGGGGAATGATTTTCCTTTTCTATTTACAGGAAAGAGATAGAAGCAAAATATTTATTTGGAGGGCCAAATAAATACAAGTTGAGTTGAAAACTGGCATGGAGCTACTTTGACATATTTCAAAGTTCCACAACTGGAATTTAAGTATTTGGAGAAATGTCAAGACTTAGAATATTTGAAAACATGAGAGATTTAAAATGCAAGTTTGTTTGGGTTGATTCCATATGAATGGGATATTTATTGTAGCTCCCTAAAAAAATAGAGGATATGTATAAAGAGAAATCACCATGTGAATTCCCTCAATATAAATAGATCAATGATCTATGTAATTTATTCCGTTGAGTTTTAAAAAGGATTGCATGATGACATGATGCAATGATGAATGCAACAAACAAATCAAATCACACAATGAAACTCGGAATACATGGGAGGCATCTGGAGCGTCGGTCTCAGGGCGTCACAACCCACCAGGGCCATAGCCGTATGTACGCAAGTTCCTCCTTATTATATACAACTATAATTTTTTTGCTTCCTCGTGGTTTCCTGACATCATGGTCCCACACCATCATCAACCTATATAGTCAATAAATGAGAGAATTGCACATGGAGCGGCCGACAGTTGGGACCAACTGCTCAAGCATTATTTGTTTTTAGGTGTAAGCGGAGTTTTTCTTGAGCGATGTTTTTGTTGTTGTTCAGAAGAGTAGGGTATCAAATGGGCGGGTTGTGGCCCGTCTAGCCCATGCTATTATTTTATGTCGACCAAATATCCAGCCCAGATATTATTTTTTCAAGGTGAAAATGGCTAGCCCACCTATACTTTTTCTCCGCCCCGTTGGGCTGTAAATCTTTCCTAGGAGGGATGCATTAGGCCAAACAAGAAAGTGGGCTTTAAGAAATAATAAATGGGATGTATTATAAAAACTGGGCTGTAAATATATAAAAACGCACCAAACAGTTAATTTGAATTTGGAAATTTTAATTTCATTACTTATTGCGTGCGCATATTTCTTTAGATTTTTACCTAATACAAATTCATTTTGAAATTATATTTAATCTGACTCGAAATTTCGAGATTAAAATATTTCGGATCCCATCAAAATGTGGGATTTTTTGTTGAATTCTGTTTTGAGAGGTTGGTTCAAATTATTAATCATTGTCCTGGCTAGAAAATGGGTTGTAATTTTAACAAACTGTAAATGGGTTGTAGTAAATTTCATTAGAATTCAAAAATGGGTTGTACATTATTACAAATCGCAAATAGGCTATATGTTCTCTGCCACAGATGTGATGCTCACTTGTGGGCCTACTATTTTTTTGAGAATTATAGTCAGTGACGCTTACGGAAGGCTTGTGGGCCTACTAAGGCGTATGGAAGGCTTTGTCAACTTATAGTCAAGACACGATTCTAGCAGCAGTTGCCATTGGATGTCCATCCAACGGCTGTAGTGCTTCTTCAATCTCGGATATTCTTGCTTCAGCTGCCCAAAGCACCGTCGGCGGTACCGCCTGCTACCGCCTCCCGTGGCCGGCTGTGCCGCCGCGCAGGCTTCACCGGCCCACCCTACTCCCAAACGCCGTCCAGGCCATTCCTCTACTCAGCAACACCTCATGTTCTTCTCCGACGACAACAACCTCACACCGCAGTCGAACCAGTGAACCCTCGTACTCCCCTCCACGTGGGCATCCACTTCTGTGTCTTCACCGGCTCCGAGTCATTCCCTTCGTAGGACTCGCCATCGTTCACTGCATTGCTTGAAGTGGCTGACACTAGGGACCCACATGGCCCATGGCCGTACGCAGGAAGTGCCCCCGTATTATGCGAAAACGAATAATTTCTCCCTGTGACAGGTTTGACCCACTAGCAACATCTTCGCACACAAGGAAGTGCTTCCTTTATTAAGCGTAAATAAAAAGTTTCCTCTCCCTGACAGCTGGGACCCACCAGCTTTATTATGATTTTTTTCGTGAAAATATAGATTGTACCAAAGATGCTAAATTGTTTTCTTTTTATTCTAACTCGAAAAAGAAGAAATTAAAAAACCAGAAAACATCTTCCCACGCAAGGAAGTGCCATCTTATTACGCGAAAAAAAATTGATTTCCCCTACTAGCTGGGACCCACCAGATTTGGAGGCTGACTTGTGGGCCTACTAAGTTAACGCATACGTGACAAGCCACAAGTATAGGGGATCGCAACAGTTTTCGAGGGTAGAGTATGCAACCCAAATTTATTGAGTTGCCAATTCAATCACACCTGAAAGACTTAATATCTACAGCAAAGTATTTAGTAGCAAAGTAGTATGGAAGTAACAGTAACAGTGGCAAGAGTAACAATAGCAGTTTTGTAGTAATTGTAACAGTGGCAACGGTAAAGTAACTAAGCAAAGATCAATATGTGGAAAGCTCGTAGGCATTGGATCAGTGATGGATAATTATGTCGGATGTGATTCCTCATGCAATAGTTATAACATAGGGTGACATAGAACTAGCTCCAGTTCATCAATGTAATGTAGGCATGTATTCCGAATATAGTCATACGTGCTTATGGAAAAGAACTTGCACGACATCTTTTGTCCTACCCTCCCGTGGCAGCAGAGTCCTATTGCGTACTAAGAGATATTAAGGCCTCCTTTAAATAGAGTGTCGGACCAAATCATTATCACTTAGTGAATACATGTACTCCTCAAACTACGGTCATCATCGAGAGTGGTCCCGAATATTGTCACTTCGGGGTTGTCGGATCCTAACACATAACAGGTGACTATAGACTTGCAAGATAGGATCAAGAACTCACATATATTCCTGAAAACATTATAGGTTCAGATCTGAAATCATGGCACTCGGGCCCTCGTGACAAGCATTAAGCATAGCAAAGTCACAGCAACATCAATCTCAGAACATAGTGGATACTAGGGAACAAACCCTAACAAAACTAACTCGATCACATGGTAAATCTCATCCAACCCATCACCGTCCAGCAAGCCTATGATGGAATTACTCACGCACGGCGGTGAGCATCATGAAATTGGTGATGGAGGATGGTTGATGATGACGACGGTGACGGATTCCCCTCTCCGGAGCCCCGAACGGCCTCGTATGATTAGGGCTTGGCGGCGGCTCCGTATCGTAAAACGTGATGAATCCTTCTCACTCATTTTTTCTCCCCAAACGTGAATATATGGAGGTTGAGTTGAGGTCAGTGGAGCTCCAGGGGACCCATGAGGCAGGGGGCGCGCCCAGGGGGGTAGGCGCGCCCCCACTCTCGTGGACAGGATGTGGGCCCCCTGGCCTTGATTCTTTCGCCAATATTTTTTATTAATTCCAAAAAGTTGCTCCGTGGATTTTCAGGTCATTCTGAGAACTTTTATTTCTGCACAAAAATAACATCATGGCAGTTCTGCTAAAAACATCGTTAGTCCGGGTTAGTTCCATTCAAATCATGCAATTTAGAGTCCAAAACAAGGGCAAAAGTGTTTGTAAAAGTAGATACGATGGAGACATATCAACTCCCCCAAGGTTAAACCTTTGCTTGTCCTCAAGCAATTCAGTTGACAAACTGAAAGTGATAAAGAAAAACTTTTACAAACTCTATTTGCTCTTGTTGTTGCAAATATGTAAAGCCAGCATTCAAGTTTTCAGCAAAGATTATAAACTAACCATATTCACAATAACACTTAGGTCTCATGTTGACTCATATCAATGGCATAATCAACTAGCAAGCAATAATAATAAATCTCGGATGACAACAATTTCTCAAAACAATCATGATATGACATAACAAGATGGTATCTCGCTAGCCCTTTCTGAGACCGCAAAACATAAATGCAGAGCACCTCTAAAGATCAATGACTGACTAAACATTGTAATTCATGGTAAAAGAGATCCAGTCATAGTCATACTCAATATAAATTAATAGTAATGCATGCAAATGACAGCGGTGCTCTCCAACTGGTGCTTTTTAATAAGAGGATGATGATTCAACATAAAAGTAAATAGATAGGCCCTTCACAGAGGGAAGCAGGGATTTGTAGAGGTGCCAGAGCTCGGTTTTGAAATAGAGATAACTAATATTTTGGGTGGCATACTTTCATTGTCAACATAACAATCAAGAGATCTCGATATCTTCCATGCTACACACATTATAGGCAG